TTGTTTGTTGAGACAGAGTCTTACTTTGTCACCTTTGGTAGAGTGCTGTGTCATCATAGCTCACAGCAACTTCAAACCCTTGGGCTTAAGCGATTCTCTTGTCTCAGCCTCTCAAATGCCCAACACAACACCCAGCTATTTTTAGAGACAGCAGCTCGTTGTGGCTAAGGCTGGTCTGGAACCTGTGAGCTTAGGCACTCCACTGGCCTTGGCCTCCCAGAGTGATGGGATTACAGGCAAGATAGAGAAGTATTTTTAAGCTTATTGGCGTCCTCTTCCTTTCTGGTTTGGGTGGATAGGAGTCTGTCAGAAATTTTGTTATTATTGATGGTGTTTTTATTTGTTTTAAATTTATATAAACATGACCCTAGGCAGCTGTGTTTAGTATAGGAAGGAATCATAGGGAGATTTGACAGTGTTTCTCATTGGGATTCAGTGTCTGTGTGTTTTAGTATTTAGAGAAGGGGTCCTCAAACTTTTCAAACAGGAGGCCGGTTCACTGTCCCTCAGACGTTGGAGGGCCAGACTGCAGGCCACTGGATGAGTCAGCTGCTAAGCAGGACAGGCAGCAGCGGCAAAAACATGCAGTAGGGCGGATAAATGTCCTAGGCGGGCCGCAGTTTGAGGACACCTGATTTAGAGGATATGGTTTGATACTTTGAAAATGAGAGGAGGCTCCCTCACTCCTAGCCTGAGTGCCTGATGGCTCTGTCCTGCAGGTTATTAGCAACATGAAAGTCGGTTTCACTCGGGTGAAACTGATAGTATTAAATTAAACAACTATGGTGGAAGTGTTTGTTTATACATGTCTGGTGAGTAGGATTTTCTTTAAAATCTGGTGTAGCATAAGGATGTTTCAGGTAACCAGAGTGCTGGAAGAAAGCTGCTACTCAAGTCAAACTAATTGCTTTGCAGAAACGTAACCAAGTTTGAGTGATTACAGGCTATAGAGTATCCTCTGTTTCTCTACTTTTCCTTTCTGAGAAAGCAAGTGTGAGACACAGCAGGAGAGGTTGAGTGATTGCATCAACTTCTTGAGTTACTGAAGTATCAATTGATCATACTCTTACAGTAGGGTGACCAGATTTTTAACATCTGTAAGGTGGGACAACATGGCCGGGGGGCAGCGCTGGGGGCAGGGGCTGGCTCGGGGCAGGGCCTGACAACAAGGCAAACTTTGATAAGCAGTTCTGGATAATCACTTCTCAGCAATTATTTATTACAGTTTAACATTATAAAATTAACAAAAATAATATAAAACTCATATTCTGGCGAAATAGCCATATGGCAGCTGAAAACCGTATATTTCCTTCTTGTTCTCCAGCCCGTTCATGCATTCTTTCCAAAAATCGGGACTTTTTTAAAACCTCGCAGGACGCGGGACAAATTGTTGAAAAGCAGGACTGTCCTGCCTAAATCGGGACGTCTGGTCACCCTGTCTTACAGTGCTCTACGTGAGAGATCCTTGCTGATTGGCTGATTTCAGTCCTTAGGTTTGACCCTGATTTACTCTAAGGAATGCTTGCCATGTACCCATTCCTGTGTGGCATGCTCTGTGAAGAATACCGAAGAGAGTAAGATTGCCCTGACCTTGGAGATAAATAAGCTGGACTTCAGTGGATTTATAGTAGCCATTCAGTAACATTGATAGGGTGGGGTGGGCAGTGGATGAGACCTGGTCAAGGTGAGGCCCAGTAGGATAAGTGGATTCAGTAGTTCCAGTGAAAGTGCTGGAAATTGTTAAAAGGTAGAAAAGAAAGTTTGAATTGACAGGAATGGGCCACTCTGAATGTGAAGGGCAAAATGGAGGAGGAGCTCTGAGATCCCCCTCAGTCCTATCAAAATCATTTATGTGTGCACTTTGGCATTTTGGAGGGCAAAGAACTTAGACCTTTTCTCAGATTCTGAAAGTTTGATGTCCAAAAAAGATTGACCAGTGCTATAGTAAGGTACCAATCTTTGGTGAGGCCTGTAGAGAAGAGAGGCAGTTTTATGGTAGAGCAAACCTTGTGGGAGGGAGAGTTGGACTGAGGGAATGCAGTGGCCTGCTTGTCATTGCAGTGGCTTGAGTGACAGTGAAGGGCAGGTGTTCTCAAAGCATTTCCTCACAATTATTCCCCCTTGTTTGAAGACTGGATTGATGAAGGTATGGGAGACTAAAATGCACTGGTAGGGTAGTTCCTAGTGTTTATTTTCCATGAAAATGTGCCTCAGAACTGAGTGTTCTGTGCATGATCCTGTGTGGATCTGTAACAATATTAAACTAGGACCTTGTCCTTAAGAAATTTATGGTATGCTATGCTTTCCTTTGGCTTTTTGTTCAGTTTGGATCTATATGTTCAGTTATCTTTGATCATTTCCTGCTCAAAGAGAGCATTTCTATTAAAATGAACTTGAAGTGACTTAATTTCTCCTCTTTTTTTTTTTGGCTGGGGCTGGGTTTGAACCCGCCACCTCTGGGATATGGGGCTGGCGCCCTACCCTTTTAAGCCACAGACACCACCCCGAAGTGACTTAATTTCTGTCAGTTATGTTTCCTTTTAGAAAACAGAACTGCTGGGATTAAAGGGTTTAGAAAATATAATCACTGAGCCTATGGCTCAGTGAGTTGGGCGCTGGCGCCGGCCCCGGGCCAAACTGCAACAAAAAAATAGCCGGGCATTGTGGCAGGCGCTTGTAGTCCCAGCTACTCAGGAGGCTGAGGCGAGAGGATCTCTTGAGCCCAGGAGTTTGAAATTGCTGTGAACTATGATGCCAGGGCACTCTACCGAGGGCAACAAAGTGAGACAAAAAAAAAAAAAAAAGGAAATACAATCATAAATATATTGTACTTGTAATTAGGAAATTACAACTGATTGTGTGACTTTTAGGCAACTCTTGTCACTTTATTATGTGTATGTGTGTATGTACACACATGGCTTTATTTAAAATTCTATTATTAATGCTCATTTTAAAAAATGACCCAGCAACTTAGTACTCTAAGATGAACTGCCCTCTCTATGGCTGATCATTTAAAAATACTTAATACATTGGGCCACACCTGTGGCTCAAAGGAGGAGGGCGCCGGTCCCCATATACTGGAGGTGGTGGGTTCAAACCCGGCCAAAAATTGCAACAAAACAAAAAAAACTTATTAACATTTTAATTGGTTGGTTTTCTTGTTTGTGTAATATTGTATCTCATAGAGTTGTCTAGAAAATGAAATTAATACATACACATACAAGGTTGGACAATTAAGTTCACAAACTTATCCTAGAAAAAGTGCTACATACTAAATTGCTAACTATCAGTGTGGTCACCTTCAAAGTGAAAGCTATACACTAATGCTAGCTCCTAGTTTACTCTTTGAAGCAATTTTGGAACTGTTTTTCTGGAATGACCATCAGATCTGTCATTATGTGAAGTCTGTCAATTAAGTTCACAGATATGTCACCACACACTCACATTGGCAGCACTGTATAAACCAACTTGTTGAGGTTTCATAACCTTGGTGTATCAGTGTCTCACAGCTGCATATGTATAGATGTGTGGTCTTGCTGAGTGGTGTTCATTATTGTTGTTGCATATTTTTGTGTGTTATACAGTGACAGCTCTGATGGCCATTCCAGAAAAAGAGTTCCAGAATTGCTTTGATGAGCGGATGAGGTGCTAGAGTTGGTAGCATTTCAGGTTACTGAAGTGATATTCAGCAGTGAGATGTGTAGCACTTTCTCTTTTTCTTTCTTTTTTCTTTCTTTTTTTTTTTTAGAGGTAGAGTCTCACACCACCTCCTGTGGTGTCACAGGTCACAGCAACCTCCAACTCCTCTGCTTAGGCGATTCTCTTGCCTCAGCCTCCCGAGTAGCTGGGACTACAGGTGCCTGCCAGAATGCCTGGCTATTTTTTTTTCGTTGTTGCAGTTTGGCCAGGGCTGGGTTTGAACCCGCCACCCTCCGTATATGGACCCAGCATCCTACCCATTGAGCCATAGGCGCCACCCATGTGGCACTTTTTCTAGGATGAGTTTGAAAACTTAATTGTGAGACCTCATGCATAATGAAGCTCTTTAGATAGTATATAGCTACATGGTAAATGTTCAAAATATATTAATGGCTACATCATAAATAAAATTTTGAAATTAACACTGTCATTTTTCCCTTGCCTGTGGGTGAATGTGGAGAGGAGGACTGCACTTGTTATAAAAGGATTTACAATGAGGTATCTTTAAATGGCAGAAATATCTGGTGCATACTTTTGTATTTATTTATTTATTTGAGACAGTGTTTCACTTTGTTGTCCTTGGTAGAGTGCTATGGTGTCATAGCTGACAGCAACCTCCAACTCTTGTGCTCAAGCAGTCCTCTTGCCTCAGCCTCCTGAGTATCTGGGACTACAGGCACCTACCACAACGTCTGACTATTTTTATGGGGTTGGGGAGGGTTTGCTCTGGATCAGGCTGTCTTAAACTTGCAAGCTCAGGTGATCCATCCACCTTGGTTTCCCAGAGTGCTAAGATTATAGGTGTGAGCCACCTCACCCGGCCCTGTGCATTTTTTTAAATATCAGAAGCACATTTTGTTTACATGCTTTGTTTTTGTACAGGTTGAGTTAAAGTTGCCCTTTACTCAGGTAGTGTGCACTGTACCCTGTAGGTGTGAATTTACCCATCCTCTCCTTCCCCTTTCTCCCCATGCGTTTATTTAAATGTTCAATTTATATATGTCTTTATTTAAAGTTGTGAAAGTGCACTTATACAAGGCCAATTCCGGTACTAACCAGACTGGTCATTGAGGTTGTAGAGTCAAGGGTTGAAAGTCACCTGCATTTAATTAAGACTTGGATTGATTGGTCTTGACTACTATTACCTTCTAGTACTTTTTTATTGTTTGGCTTCCCATGTGTTTGTCTTTTTTCTTTTCATCTTTTTTTAAGTTGCTTTCTGATTTATTTCCTGTTCAGTTTTCAGTAATGGGTGTGGAGTAGGGCAAGAACTTAACCTTGGTGCCCGTTGTTTGAACCAGGAAGGAGTCTGCATCACAGGGCCCGGGCCTGAAGTTCCTGCAGAGCTACCTCCCCAGGGAGCCACTGACATCCACATTCACCTAATTCCAGACCTGAAGATGTGCTGCTCCATACGGTGTGTGCATAATGAACATTTTAAGGCTCCTTCACCCACAGTTTTCCAAATTCTTCCATTTATTTCTCCTTTTTTAAAACCAGTAATTATGGGAAAATCTAGCTGTGTACAGTAAGAGTGGTAATAAACCCTCCCTGGCTTAGCCACCATACAACTTCAACAATTTCTCAGCTCACTTTCAGTCTTGTCTGTTCTATACATCTAACCATTTATTTCCTTACGTTATTTTGAAGGAAATTCTTGACATCATGTTATTTAATCTATTTCAGGATGAAGCTCTAGGAGATCAGGAATTAAAAATGCAAAGACATATTTTGAGAACTTTCCAGAAATGGGAAAAAAATTTATACACATGTTAATTTTTTATAGTCAATCTGACTGAAGATTCATTTATGGTGCATTTGGTTGGTTGGTCTCTCAAGTGTCATTTATAAAAGTCAGTCTCTCTCTTAGTTGGACTTTGTTTTGAAGAAACCAGGGTTTTATTGTTCTGTAATTTCCCACAATCTACATTTTGCTGTTTTGTATCCCTCAAATGTGGTTTCACATATTTCTCTGTCTCTTGTGTTTTATGTGAAGTTTTAGTTTGCTCTAACAGGGGCGTCCAACCTTTTTTCTTTCCTGCAGTAAGTACATTGGAGGAATAAGAGTTGTCTTGGGCTGTACTCTACACAAACACTACCAAAAGCTGATTAGCAAAACAAAGGGCCGTGCATATTTTTTAGATATCCAGCACCACACATAAGCAAAAAAAGTCCTCACAAAATCAGCATGAGGCCTGTGGGCTGCAGCTTGGACACCCCTTCAAGTATCTAGCAGATTAGAATTGATGTTTTCTTAAAGTAAGCATCTCCCCTACCCCATTGGGAGGCATGTAATGTCTGTTTCAGTTTTAGGATGTTAGCAGCTACTGATGACCAATACCTAGATCCATTACTTTAGTAGAAGTTGCAAAATGGTGATATCTACTTTCATTTTTTACATTTATTTGATCAAAACCTATCAGGAAATGAAATTTAAGGAATTTAATGTCTTTAAGTATATTTTTAATTAGTACATCATAGCAGCATGTTGAGACACGCAGTGTAGTTCATTGGGTAGTTGGTTACTGCAGAATGACATGGAGCCTCTGAAGTTACTCTAATCAGTAGGTGGTCTCAGAGTGCTTATTGGCAGTTACTTCCCAGCTGGAAATAATAATTAGGGATTAGTATGTGCTCAGATTACTGTATACTTCTTTAATTGTATAATGTTACAAAATAGCTGTCTTAAAGTCTTACCTGCTTCTGTTAAAGTTTTTAAAAATGAATTGATATATAGGCTGGGTGGTTGGCTCACACCTATAATCCTAGCACTCTGGAAGCTGAGGCAGGTGAATTACCTGAGCTCACATGTTTGAGACCAGCCTGAACCAGAGTGAGACCCCCTCTCAGAAAATAGCTGGGCATTGTAGTGGGTGACTGTAGTCTCAGCTACTTGGGAGGCTGAGGCAAGGGGATGGCTTGAGCACAAGAGTTTGAGGTTGCTTTTAAATAGTCTTCTATTAATGTTTATAATATGATATTTTGTTTCTGGGAAGAACTAATTTGCTTAAGGAAAAAAACCCTCATTCTCTTCATAAAAGTGTAGTTTGCTCAGCTCAATGAAGTTCATGAGAATATCTGTGGTGGGGTTAATAGGGGAGATTTTCTTCAATAAATCTAAAGGTAACTAGATACTTAACTTTTGTCCCTTTACCCATTCTTGTTCCCTTTTTTCCTTTATTCACTTCAGATGTTGTACAAGGTCAGCGCTCTTGAGATGAGCAGATTTCCCTCTTAATACCCAAAGCTAAGCAAGATTGAGTTGATTCTTCACTTTCACAGTATCTACAATTGAATAACCTGATTTTCACATTTCTTTGGGGGATTTTCTGAGTTCCCTTTTAAAATGCACTTGGACTTTTGGACATATAAGTCATAAATGGACAAATTAAAGTGATAGATCAGGAAATAAGGTTTGTTTCTCAGCAGTTTTTCGGGTGGATCTTCAAGTTATTTTTAAGGTAACATTTTTGAAAATAATGGTTTGACAGTGGAAACACCCTTATGTTGCCATCTAATCTTCGATAAACGAAACAGAAGAATGGGGGGTAAAAAATCCCTATTTGCGGCTTGACACCTGTGGCTCAAGTGGCTGAGGTGCCAGCCACATGCACCTAAGGTGGCGGGTTCGAGTCCAGCCCAGGCCCTCCAAAAACAACAATGACAGGTGTAACCAAAAAATAGCTGGGCGTTGTGGCAGATGCCTGTGGTCCTAGCTACTTGGGAGGCTGAGGCAGGAGACTCGCTTGAGCCCAGGAGTTGGAGGTTGCTGTGAGCTGTGATGTCATGGCACTCTACTCGGGGATAGCCTGAGGCTCTCTGTCTCAAAAAAAAAAAAAAATCCGTATTTGCTGGGAGAACTGGTTAGCCATGTATGTATAAAAAAGACTTCTTACCACTTAGAAAAATTGACTCATGCTAGATAAAAGATTTAAATATAAGACACAAAATGATAAAAACTCTAGAAGAAAGTGTGGGGGAAAACTCTTAATGATACAGGCCTGGGGAAAGATTTATGAAGAAGACCCCATTGGCAATTGCATTAGCATCAGAAATAAACAAATGGGGGCAGCACCTGTGGCTCAGTGGGTAGGGTGCTGGCCCCATATACCGAGGGTGGAGGGTTTGAACCAGGCCCTGGCCAAACTGCAACAAAAAAATAGCCAGGCATTGTGGTGGGAGCCTGTAGTCCCAGCTATTTGGGAGGCTGAGGCAATTGCCTAAGCCCAAGAGCTGGCGGTTGCTGTGAGCTTTGATTAAGGGTGACAAAGTGAGACTCTGTCTCTAAAAACAAATAAATAAATAAAAATAAAACAAATGGGACTTGATCAAGCTTAAAAGCTTCTGCCCAGCTAAGGATGCAGTAAACAAACTAAATAGATTACCTTCAGAATGGGAAAAGATACACAAATGTTACAAGGCTGATAAAGGGCCAATAACCAGAATCTACAGGGAACTCAAGCAAATCAACAAAAAGACTCAACAACCCAATTAATTACTCACTGGGCAAGATGAATGAACAGAAACTTCTCCCAAGAAGAATTAAGATGGCCAAAAACATATGAAAAAATGCCCATTGTCCCTAATCATCTCAGAGAAATGCAAATCAGAACCTAACCCCAGTGAGAAGGGCCCACATCACAAAGTCCCAAAGCTGTGGATGCTGGCAAGGGTGCAGGGATAAAGGAACACTTCTGCACTGTTGATGGGACTACAAACTAATATAGCCTCTGTGGAAAGAACTATGGAGAATCCTCAAAGAACTCAAATTAGACTTTCCATTTGATCCTGCAATCCTACTACTAGGCATCTACCTAGAATAAAAAAAAAATCATTTTGCCATAAAGACATTTGCCCTTGAATGTTTATCCCAGCTCAGTTCACAATCACAAAGGTGTGGAAATGACCCAAGTACCCATCAGCCCAGGAATGGATTATTAAACTGTGGTGTACATATACCATGGGTTACTATTCAGCCATAAAAAGATGGAGACTTTACATCTTTTTTATTTGCCTGGATAGAATTAAACATTCTCCTTAGTAAGTATCTCAAGAATGGAAAAACATATACTCAATACTAATTTGAAACTAGTAGATGAACAAGTACAGACCCACGTGAGAGAAAAACACAAATTCAAGAAGTGGGGAGGGGCTCAGTAAGCTCCCACCTAACGGGTACAATGTAGGGCATATGGCACACTTCCTGGGTAAAGTACTGAAATACAACCTGGACTTTTTCTAACAAATGTAAACTAATTATTTGTAACCTCACATTAATCTGAAATAATGAAAAAAAAGGTGTGACAAATCTTTTTAACGAATAGGAGTTTTGTTTTCTTTTTCTTTCTTTTTTTTTTTTTTT